GCCATCAGTACTGTGCTTTTTAGACCACTGCCCCAGGCCGATGCAACCGATAAGTTTACATATAGCAGATTCTACTACTAGACTTTTAACATGTACTGTTTAAGCTGTTGCAAGGCATTTTAAAATAATAGAAGAAAAATATAGCTTTTTTTTAAAAACGGTTCTTATGAACATTAAAATAAAATAAATTCAGACGCATAAATTCTCCTCCCTACAGGTATATGTGAGCCGTGGGACTCCCCCAGGTGTTTCAAGAAATCAATCAACCACCCGCAATACTCCAACCAAGAAATGTGGATGAGGGACAAGTGCCAGGCATTGCCATTTATGTGTAGTCCATTACAAGATGCAGGTAAAATTAGTGAAAAATTGGCAGTCTATTACAAGATGCAGACAGATTTTTAAGAAAACATGGACAGTCCATGATAAAATGCAGACAGATTTGAATAAAACATGGACATTCCATGACAAGATGCAGGTAGATTTTAAGAAAACATTGACAGTCTTCAAACAAAATGCAGGTAGACTTTAAGAAAACATTGGCAGTCCTCGACTAGATGCAGGTAGACTTTAAGAAAACATTAACAGTCCATGTCGAGATGCAGAGAGATTTAAAGACAAATGGACAGTCCATGTCGAGATGCAGAGAGATTTTAAGAAAAATGGACAGTCCATGTCGAGATGCAGAGAGATTTTAAGAAAAATGGACAGTCCATGTCGAGATGCAGAGAGATTTTAAGAAAAATGGACAGTCCATGTCGAGATGCAGAGAGATTTTAAGGAAAATGGACAGTCCATGTCGAGATGCAGAGAGATTTAAAAAAAATGGAAAGTCCATGTCGAGATGCAGAGAGATTTTAAGAAAAATGGACAGTCCATGTCGAGATGTAGAGAGATTTAAAGAAAAATGGACAGTCCATGTCAAGATGCAGAGAGATTTTAAGAAAAATGGACAGTCCATGACAAGAGACAGGCAGATGATGATAAGAAAACATAACGAAAGATTTCTCATCTTTGTTAAGTTCAGGAATTAATCCAAAAGATTATTAGTCTGAAACCAAACTCTCTTGGTTATCGTAGGCTTTTGTGTTCTCATTCAAAATCTTTTGTTTAATTTAAAACAACTGCTGCCCTAAGGCTTAAACCATTGGACATATAACTAAATACTAAGTGTACGGTCAAACGTCAGAGGCTTAAGTTAACTTCTTACGAGCTTATTTTAAAAGATACAATCAATTTAATGTGTGTGGATGATGTACTGGCCTTGTTTTATTTATTTATTTATATTTAGTAAGTCGAATCTAGTGCAGTCTAGTTCTTTGATCTCCAGCTGTAAAGAGAATCGACATCCCAGTTGCCCCGGGTAGAGTGAGCAGCGGCAAGGAGATGTCTTCCCAGTGCCGACTCTACAGCTTCCAGGAATCCGGGGACTTTCACATCATCGGCACGGAGCCCCTGGTTGACATCAAGGAGGTCTTACACCACATGTACCTCTTCGGGTGTGATAGTAAGTGAACATGTACCTCTTTGGATGTGATGGTAAGTGAACATGTACCTCTTCGGGTGTGATGGTAAGTGAACATGTACCTCTTTGTATGTGATGGAAAGTGAACATGTACCTCTTCGGTTGTGATGGTAAGTGAACATGCATCTCTTCGGGTGTGATGGTAAGTGAACATGTACCTCTTCGGGTATGATGGTAAGTGAACATGTACCTCTTCGGGTGTGATGGTAAGTGAACATGTACCTCTTTGGATGTGATGGTAAGTGAACATGGGTCGGTCATAGAAAAACAAGACACTCTGCTTGATCTTTTCTTATCTTGTACACGCGCTGTGATTTTTAAAACCATCTCGGACAATGTTTCTGTACGAGCTTATTGATGGTGAAGACTGGTGAGTACTGAAGCTTTGTTCTGATGGTGAAGACTGGTGAGGATTGAAGTTTGTTCTAATGGTGAAGACTGGTGAGTACTGAAGCTTTGTTCTGATGGTGAAGACTGGTGAGTACTGAAGCTTTGTTCTGATGGTGAAGACTGGCGAGGATTGAAGCTTTGTTCTGATGGTGAAGACTGGCGAGGATTGAAGCTTTGTTCTGATTTGAAGACTGGCGAGGATTGAAGCTTTGTTCTGATGGTGAAGACGGGTGAGGACTAAAGCTTGTTCTAATGGTGAAGACTGGTGAGGACTGAAGATTTGTTTTGATGGTGAAGACTGGTGAGGACTGAAACTTTGTTCTGATGGTGAAGACTGGTGAGGACTAAAGCTTTGTTCTAATGGTGAAGACTGGTGAGGACTGAAGATTTGTTTTGATGGTGAAGACTGGTTACTGAAGCTTTGTTCTGATGGTGAAGACTGGTGAGGACTGAAGCTTTGTTCTGATGGTGAAGACTGGCGAGGATTGAAGCTTTGTTCTGATGGTGAAGACTGGTGAGGTCTGAAGCTTTGTTCTGATGGTGAAGACTGGTTACTGAAGCTTTGTTCTGATGGTGAAGACTGGTGAGGACTGAAGCTTTGTTCTGATGGTGAAGACTGGCGAGGATTGAAGCTTTGTTCTGATAATGAAGACTGGTGAGGTCTGAAGCTTTGTTTTGTCTAAAAATTGTTTGTTACTAGAATTTAAAAAGAGATAACTGGCGCTTCGAAAGAAATCGGATATCAATTCGTCGTTATTTTCATGTATTCTGAGATGTGTGTTTGCAGATTAGAAGATCGCATTATACCAGTCTTGTCACTGCATGCCCAATAGGGCTACTTATCTATAGATTTCACGTGGATTGTTCATCAGAGGTCGGTATAGTTTTCCGAAGCTCCATGCTATGCCTATTGTAGATTAGGTGATAACTAAAGACATGCTATTTTTTCTAAAACCAATCAAAACCATCTGATGTCCAGATGACCAGGAAGTGACAGACGATGTATTCCCGTGTAATGTACTGCCCACCCTGAAATGTACCAAGATAATCGGGGCGTGGTCGATTGGTCAAGCCGGACAGTGCTTTAAGGATGTCGCTGGGATCAGACTCGGAAGTACGGGATATAAAGTCTTTGCCGTCCAGGTAAAACTCTTTAAGGTTAAAATTACTTGTTGAGCTTGAGTTGTCAAGGTAAATAAGTTTCACACTGGTCACTTGAGTGATATGGGTCAATATCTGAGCTTCAAAGTGGGCAAAAAAATAACCCCTACTGCGATGAACATTTGTACATTACCATTAATATCTGAAACAGACACAAAAATTTACACATTGGTTACATTTACATGGGTATAAAATTTATAATCTATACACATTTGTATGAATTTAATAGGGTGGTGTTTCCTAAAATGCCGAGTCGAGACCCGGTTGCTGGCCACGAAAGCAAAATACGGGTGTCGTCAAAAGAAGTTTCTAGAAGCAATAGTGGTAAACACGATATGCCTCCCTTTTCTTTGTCATAAATTGGTTTTCAGTCTTTAGTTTGATTTATGTTTAACATTTTTTTGTAAGCGAAATAGTAGTGTTTCTTCTCTATGGTGATACGTATGTATTTACTCTGTCTCCCCAACAGACTATGTATTTATTCACTGTGTCTCCCCAACAGACTATTTATTTATTCACTGTGTCTCCCCAACAGATTATGTATATATTTGCTCTCTCTCCCCCACAGACTATGTATTTATTTACTCTCTCTCTCCCCAACAGACTATGTATTTATTCACTCTCTGTCCCCAACAGACTATATATTTATTTACTCTATCTCCCCAACAGACTCACTGGTTCAGGCAAAACTTACTGCTAAACATTGAAGACAAGTCCGGTCTGCGACTCTATTACACACCCAATCTGTAAGCGAATTTTTACAGGTTTTTTTTAAATTCTTTTTTTGTTTTGTTTTTTTTGATAATCAAGCTTCCAGACTTTTCTGTAAAATATTTTACCCTGCAATATGAGCACAATATGTGATGCAGCTCATTTAGAATGTCTGTAAATTGAAATCGAAAAAAAAACGTCTGTCGCACAATGCTAAGATCTCAATATTTGTAGGTGCTCAAAAAAGGTTACCCCTGCCATGAACAAAATACTCAGTGTGACACAGTTTAGATCGATACAATTATATGAGTCTTGTAGTTAATATCTGGTCACGAGCAAGTAATTCAATGCACGATACAACTGCCCAATCACACTAACAGACAATAAACATTAGAATGTAGAAGAGAGTGCGTGAATGAAAAGTAAAATCAATATGAACGAAAAACAACCATTAAAAAAAGTCAAATCAAGGAAGGAAAAGAATAATAATTAAGCGTCGATATGAAAGTACTATCAATAAAATCATAAAATATGTTCACATTCAGCTATGTTTAACGTAATCATTCTTTCCCTGATACAATTAGAATAATTTCTTGTCAAGCACAAAGGGAGAAGATGTACAGGTGTATATGGGTTTGAAAAATGGAGGAGATAAACGGGATTGAAAGAGGAGCACAGTTAAGGATTAATTTTATAACCCTGGCAAACACATCGAAAACTTTCCAAGAGATGGCCACACCCCTTAGCACCTTCCGGTATAATGTCATATGGCAACACCCCTTAGCAACTTCCGGTATAATGTCAGATGGCAACACCTCTTAGCAACTTCCGGTATAATGTCAGATGGAAACACCCCTTAGCAACTTCCGGTATAATGTCAGATGGTAATACCCCTTAGCAACGTCTTGTGTAGTGTCAGGGGGTTTTCACCTACTTTTTGTCCATGACCTCATTGTAAATCAGATATGGCCCTCCTTAGAATCAAATAATGAAGTTCTTTTACATTTATTGAAATAAAAATGGAATTCCAACTCACAGACCACATGAAAATTTTCACAGACTCCTCAAGGGGTCCTTGCACACAGATTAAGAACCAATGTATCCCATAAATAGAACCGCTCCCACAGTAGGTTGACTTCGACCCCTCCAGCATTGATTTGACATTGTTAAAAGTGGGCAACGGTTGTATTAATGCTATAAATCCGTCGCCAGGAGACCAAAAGATGCTGACGTCCTTAAAATTGGATCTGTGAATTTCACCCTGTCGCCCAACAGAGAGTCTGAGACAATCATGGGTGTGTGCCCCAACAACTGCACGAAAAACATCCTTTTGGGGCCCATCTACGTCATTTCCGCTACACATTACATGCACCTGGCGGGTAGGTTTTCAAATACGAAATGTTTATACAAAGAACCGTTGCTGCTGTGTATACTCAAGAGAGATTATAATCCGATGAGGGGGATACAAGCAAGAGTTTGGAAAACTATGAAAGAAACTGGGGATTAAAACGGCAAAAAAAGATTGAGTTTTATAAAATTCTCATGATTAAAATTAAAGTAATAATTTGGTCTTATTAATGACACGTTAAGCTCTTGAGTTTGAATCTTAATATGGTGTGGGAATTACACAAAGTCCACCGAACGAATACAACAAATTATTTTATTTGAGCCAAGGGATTTATCCGTTTGATGAAACTAGTTGGTTAATCCCACCCAGGGAAAGCCGAGACATTGCCACCCCACGCCACCCCCCCTCTAAGTTAAAATTCTACAATTGTCCGAAAATGCCGCCCCTCATTAAAAAGAAAAAAGTGCCGCCCGGGCCAGGATGCCCCCCCCCCCCTCAACTCACCCCTACTTACGCCAGTGCATACAATGATCTAGATTCACGTGTATGTTTAATGAAAGTGGTGAGAATTTTCAAGGGTTTAAAACCATTGCATTTAAATATACACGAACGTTAAAACAGTGAGACAAAAATCACTGTAATTAACTATTGATGCAAAAATATATCAAGTACATGAAATTAATCTCTTACATAAAATATTGTACCTACATAAATATAGTGCTTACACCATTGTACATGCATAGGATATCCCGCAGACATTGCATTGTAAAAATACGTATTACGTTTGAGCTTACGTTCGATGTCGTTCCGTTCTCAGGAAGGAAGATGAGTATCACGATCAAACGTGACGATATGTTGATCACAGTCACCAATGAGCCTACCTACTCGTACTACAGCCCCCAAGTCATTACCTTGTAAGTTTAATCTTTGTGTTAAAGCCTCTATTTCTCTCTCTCTCTTTCCTCCGTTCTCTATCTCTTTCTATTTCTCTCTCTCTCTCTCTCTCTCTCTCACTCTTTCTCTCACTCTCTCTCTCTTTCTTTTTCTCCGTTCTCTATCTCTTTCTATTTCTCTCTCTCTCTCTCTCTCTCTCTCACTCTTTCTCTCTTTCTCTCTCTCTCTTTCTTTTTCTCCTTTCTCTTTCTCTTTCTCTCTCTCTCTCTCTCTCTCTCTCTCTCTCTATATCGGGCGAGCGTCGTGT